ACAGCTTTCTTATTTTCTCCGTTCTTATGATTTCATCTTACTATTAAGAGTGTTGCATTGGTTAATTTTTAAACTTTAAATAACACTTAAAATTCATCTTCTAGATTCATTTTTGCAAGAAATTCTAATGCCAATCTAGACATTTTTCTTTGTAGATTTTTTTTTCTATTGCTGGCTGAATTTTTTCATTATCTTAATTATCTGAGTGCAAAATTTTTCTTGAGGAGCAGTGTGCGTTGAAGCTTTAAATCTCATGAATCGTGTGTTTCTGAAAAATTGTATGATTCATTGTTGCAGTTGATATCTATTCTCTCTTTTAAAACAATTATGTATGAGATGTATTTTACCCTTCTTGTATTAACCATATATTCCAGATTTTCTTTTTATCCTATTTTTATTCCAATTTTTTCCAGCTCTATGCTGTAAGAAAAGTTTTTTCCTAGATTTTCTTTCAGAAAATTTCAAATGTTTTAAACTTCACCATAACATCTTGAATTTGTAAGAGGCTTTAATACTGACTATGCTCCTTCTGTTTTTCCTCAGCTGGGCATATCAGCTACTCAAAAATTTTCATATGTTCTATCTATTTAGGTTTAATCCTCCACTCTGATTCTTGAATTTTTAAGATTTAGTTGCTTTGAATTTTGCTCTTCACTTTTTCCTTTTGTATTATCAGTTTATCTCAAAAGTTCTTCATGATTGATCACCAGTGGGTCCAATATGCTTGGCATGCAAACTTTATGATTCTAAAACTCAGGTTTTGCTGTCATGTCTGCATGGTAAGCACAGAATCACATCACTTCTATATATGTGCAAATACACTTGAGAGTACAAATTATAGGTGGATGAGACAATTAGTGTGATAGTTTTTTGCTAACATAAGGGATTTTTCTATGTTTTGAGGAGAGAATGAACAAACAGCCAGTCAGCATGTTTCTTTTCTCTTTGCTTGGTTCATGACTAGCATTTCAAAGACTCACAATTGATCTGCAGAGGACATTTAATTAATGCAATTGTCCATTCTTCTTTATCATAATTATTTTTTCTACCAACCAGTGAGCAGCATCTCTAGATCTGTGTTTGTTTTTAATATTTAATTTTATTTACCTGAAAGGCAAAGCTGCCAGCCCTGCATTCAATGTCTAAATCCTGACCATGCACATTCTGGGTCTCATAGTGGCACTGGTTCCTGTCCCTGCTACTCCACTTCTTTTCCAGCACCCTGCTTATGACCTGGGAAAGCAGTGGAAAAAGGTCCAAAACCTTGGGAAACCACACCTTCTTGGGAAACCCAGGGGAAGCTCCTTGCCCCTGACTGGGGATCTGCTTGGATCTGGCCATTGAAGATATCTGGGGAGTGAACCAAACAGATGGGAGAATTTTCTGTCTCTCCTTCTCTCTGTAAATCTGCTTTTCAAAAAAAAAATCAGTAAATCTTAAAAAAAAAAAAGAAAAAATATATACATGGCAAAGTCACAAAGGAAGAGAGCCATCTTCTGTTTCCTTCCCTAATTGGTTGCAATGACTAGGGATGGATCAGACTAAGTTAGGAGCCCAGGAACTTTTTCTGGGTCTCCTACACAGGTTTGGAGCCCAAACACTTCGGCCATTTTCTATTTGTTTCCCAGGAGCATCAACAGGAACCTGGATCTGAAGTAGAGCAACCAGGACTAGAGCCAGCACCCACAGGATGTCAGCATCTCTGGTTATGGCTTTATGCACTATAACTCATCTGTAGAACTTCCATGAGAAAAAGAATAGCTTCCACATTTAGACTTCCATTTCCTGTGCCTTTCTGAGATCCATTATTCATGGGTACACTTTTCCACGTGTCTGTGTTCATCCATGCTTTGACTTTCAGGAAGTCATCAGAGATTCTGAGAAGACGAGTGACATTTCCCCTATGCTAAGATCTACTTTCTCTCTTCAGATTAATACTAAAGTGGGTTTTGTACTTTTTGAACACTGCAACTGATACTTGAGTGACATTATGTGAAAGAAGAGTGAAGAAAATTTGTGCTTAGAATGGCATTCTCATGTGCAACAATTTAGAAAGCAAGGGAGGAGGAAATGGAGAAACAGAAGCAGGGAGGAGGGACATTTAATTTGTCCTATTGTATTAATAACACATTAACATAAATTTTTGTAACTATCATGCATTAACTTTGGTCCTGAAAATCTAATGTATTTAAACATTTCTTAAGCTAAAAAGGGGAGATTAGCAATAATATCAGTCATAATTTCAGATTTTTTTTAAAGATTTATTTGCTTTTATTGAAAAGGAAACACACACACGTAGAAGAACATACAGAGAGAAAGGTCCTCCATCTACTTGTCCACTCCCCGAGTGGCCGCAATGGCCAAAACTGAGTTGATCCAAAGTCAGGAGCCAAGAGTTTCCTCTGGGTCTCCCACTTGGAAGCAGAATCCCAAGGCTTCAGATCACACTCTGTTGTTTTCCCAGCTCCCAAGCAAGGAGCTGCATGGGAAGTGGAACATCTGGAACATGAACCTGCACCTCTATGGGATTCTGGCAGTTGAAAGGTGGGAGTTTAACCAGTAGGTTTTCACACAAAGCCCCTGCCATAATTTCATAGCATTAGGAAAATAATATATCGATGTTTTACAGACAGTTTAATGCATTTTAATAATTACATTCTTTGCAACATGGAAAACATGTTACATTTAATTCTGATGTGTTTCCCACTTAAATTATTTGCATTATTTCATTCACATACAAAAAATGATTTTATTTATTGAGCTATATCGATAATATAGAAGCACTATAATAAATAACTAGACAAATACTTATCTTTACCAGTAAGAATGACTATGGTCAGTGGCTTTTAAACTGAAACAATTGTAGTCTCAGAATCATGTGATTAAAATGAAAATATTCTTTTCAGTCATGTTGTTTCCTTGCATATATCCTTAACCAATTTATTTTAATTATTCAATATTTGCTATTTGAGAGGGCAGCAGGGTGAACACTTGTCAAATTATGACAAATAATTTAGTTGTAGTTGGAATATTGTATATAGGTAGAAATATAGAAATTTCAAATTTGCATGTGTTATACATATGCATAGAAATGTATATGAATATATATGTATACATAGATACATATAGAAATATGTAAATCAGATTTCTTTCAGTTTTCCCACGTGGATGCAGGGTCCCAAGGCTTTGGGTCGTCCTAAACTGCTTTCCCAGGCCACAGACAGGGAGCTGGATGGTAAGCAGTGCTGCTGGGATTAGAACCGGCGCCCATATGGGATCCCGGGAGTGCAAGGCAAGGACCTTAACCACTGCGCCACCGCGCCGGGCCCCTAATTATTTTTAAAAAGAATTTTTTATGATTAGTGACTTTGATCTTATACTACCTCATAGAATAATACTGATTTCCAAATTTCAAGAAATTCTTATTGTGTATTATTTTCCTTATTTTTAAGAAATCGCTTAATCTCATGACTGCAGATTTATTTTTTCCAAAATATAGGGTGAAACAATTTATAAGATTACAGTTAGGAAGAATTGGATACCAGGTTAAAAGTATAGCTAGCATTTAAATAATACCTACTGATTACAGTTAATCCTAACAGTTAAATGTGAATGTGGCCCTTCTATGGTGCAACTGTTGTGAAGAATAAAAGACTACCGAAGCTGTAATGTTCACTCAAATTTACTTGGCTTTTTATTCAAATTCATTCATTTTGTAGCAATACGCTTCAGAAAATCTTGGCGTGTGTTTGTGGTTATTGTATTTGCTTGTTTGCCTGTTTGTTTTGGTATGTCTTTTATAATTAATTGTGTTATATCCTAAAAGGCTCAATAATACTGATAAACAGTATCAGTGACAATAAACATTACACATTGATAGGCGCATATATGCTTGTCAAATATTTTATTCAGTAAGCTGTATGCATCACCTGTTTCATCAGTCACTGGGTCTCCAAGCATCGTTACTGTGATTTTTGTAAGCAGGAGGTAAGCTGAAGAGAAGCCAGATTCCCGCTCTAGCTGACGCCAGCCAAGTTGGCAGAGCTACGAGTTGGTCTGACTACGAAGTGCTTGCCTTGATCTACCATATTTTCTGGCCCAGAATGATAAAAAATGTTTTTCCATAATTATATTACTTAAATATTATTTAAAGCCCAGTTTTGTAAAAAGTTTAATCTGTTTTTCCAATGATCTGGAAAATTACATTATCTGACAATATGAAACATTAAAAGTAATCATTTGCCATTAAGTTATAAAATTTCCTCCATACAGTTGTCACACCAAAAATGTCTGATCAGTCCAGCACTGTGTAGTGATGAGTTGGAGGAATGAGCAGAATCCTCAGCCAGTTGTTTCTGATTCTTTGCTTTAACAACCGTGAATCCTCCATCTCCAATATGGCACCTTGCATTTATTCACTCCTGTGAATGCCATACTGTTTCTGTTTTCTCAGTTCCTCAAACTCTGCACTATTAACATGTCTACTTTTCCAACCGTTGTTATTAGTACTAAATAAACAAATATCTTATTACTGTAAATGTTTCAGTGTAAAATATCATAAAAACAACGCTACTTTAAAAATTTTAAGAAAATGCAATTACAAAGTAAGTTAATTTCACCTACATTTTTGATCTGCTGTGGTTTCTTCATAATACATGCTTTCTGTGAAATTTTTTGGAAGACTGTATAAAATATGTTTTACATTTTAAAGTTAGCTATTGGTCAACAATACATTGATGGGTCAATTTTCTAAAGGTATAAAACATATTGTAGATTTTCAAGACTTTATTTTCTAAATCAGCCTTTGAATTCATACAAAAATGTAATGTGTTACAAAGTAAATTATGTTCTAAAAACATACTTTTGTTGAAGATACTTGATATATGTAAATCAATGTCATGTTTGTTTCTTAGTAATATCCTAGAGTTTGCCTTGAGGAGTAACACTGATCTTTGCCTGCGAAGCTACTTATATTCAAAACCTCTTATTATCGTGCTCAGATGTCCCCAGGTCTCCACCCTGGATCTACTCTGATTCCAATGAGCAGCATCTCTCTGCCCCAAGGAGAGGATGAATACGGCTATCAGTGTTTGGAGGGCAAAGATTGCGCCAGCTTCTTCTGCTGCTTTGAGGACTGCAGAGCCGGCTCCTGGCGGGAAGGCAGGATCCACATCCGCATTGCCAAGATTGACTCCTATTCTCGAATATTTTTCCCAACAGCTTTTGCCCTGTTCAATCTTGTCTATTGGGTGGGCTATCTTTACTTATGAGTTACACTTACTCGGCAAAACTCAGATTTCTGACTAAAATCCATTGTGATCTGTAGCAATTCAGTAAAAGGAAGATTAAATTGAAAGCACAGGGAAACCAATGGGAACCATGTGGATAGTATCATAGCTGACTTACAGCTGGTGCTGGTAAATAAAGGAGTAGCTTTTAAATGAATTAAAATTACATGACCCCAATTGATTTTACAATTCATAACATTAAAACACCATATAGGACCATGATTATTACTTTATTTTTTAAAAATTTTACTTATATTTTACTAGTGTTTTGGAGGAGCGTAATTTTTACTTTAATTTTTCTTTAATTTACTTATATTTTGTTAAAATTCTGAAATTACAAGTTTTGTGGCTCATATTTATTGATCGGTTTATACATATTTTATTTAGATATGTTTTGTTTATGATTTTAAGTGGAACTAATATCTAATATTTGTGTAATAATTCTTATCCTTGAAGTAACTGCTGATTTTTCCTGTTGCTTTTTATTTCTTGTAGTCTTTGGAAAGTAACTAGCTTCAAGCTTAAAATTGTGATTTCCTTAATTTTATGTTCAAAATGTTTTAACTCCATGAAAAATTGATTTGAATTTCTGAACTCAATTTTTCTTGAAACCTTATCAATTTTTGGCTACCAAGCAATATTATGATTTATGAATACAATGTGGAATAATTATATGAACTCTGTTAAGGACGGTTAAAAACAAATGAAACAGCAAAGTTTTATCTTTGGTCCAGTTTCACATCCTAATAACAAATTACGCAAATCTCTAGCTACATTTAGAATTTTACAATCTTAGGATTTTCCAATCTTACACGGAAACTTAACAAGCCAATTGTTTTCAAGGTAAAATGAATAAAATTAGAGAAACATTAAATTTAGCCAGTTTATAAATATTTACAGACCACAAGTATTTAGGAAATATTTTTAGTTCTGCCTCTTCCAGCTTCCAAGTGTTGGACTGAGTCAGTTAAAAAATGTATTATAAATTTTTTTGGCATTTTCTTTACTTGGAAATTTTAGCGCCCCAATCATACCAGGAGTGAATTTTAATGGCAGTCATCTTTGTTTTGTGTATGAAATGGCATTCTAAATTCCTAGTGACAGGAACAGATAGCAAGCAAGTCTCACTGGAGATGAAGTTTATCAGTTAATAATTGGAGTTTCTGAAGTGTTTTGTTGTTAGAAGGAGATTTGGATTTAGTCTCCTGTCATTACATTCCTGTGAGTACCTTGGCCTGTCAGCTATTCATTCACCATCACCTGATCTAGAGAAGGTGCCAGAAAGGTAGATCTTTAACACCTGCTCTACAGACAGGACCAATGATTTCAATGAGGAGTTTCATGATTTAGCATTTATAATACATCTTAAGGTTTGAGGCAACCTGTGAATTTAACATCTCAGTTTTCAATGTGCAAGTTCTCCCATATGACTGATGAATATCTGAGTGATGTTTTGGAATGGTTATACTTATTTTTGCAGAGTATAAAAATTTTATTTTCTTAAAATATACATATGTCTCATGATGTGTTCCAAGCATGAATGGGAAATTTTTTTTGCTTTGTACCTTTAAATATAAAACTAGTAATTGAATAATAGTGTCCACATCAATCAACATTATTCTTTTGGATGGAAATTAAAGTTTGCCTTGTACATACTTCCTTGCAGATTTGTATTATGTATTAGAGATCAATGGAATTGAAATATCATGAAAAATAAAACACTTTAATAAGATGCATTATGAATATTTCCATGTTTTAAGCTATAACTTGTTCATTGTCACAGGGAAGTTTTGAGTTTTGGACTCTTTCAAGTATTTTTAAGCATGACTGTAATTTAAAATACTGGAGATTGCTTGATGTAATCTTGATTTTACTTGCTGATGTTTCATGAACTACTTGCCTTGCAAGTGTTGAAAATCTTTATGAGTGAAAACAAAATTGACAAAAAATGAAAGATGATTTTCTATGTATATATGAAATATATATTCCTTATAAATACCATCAAGACAACACTTTGTCTTCAAAGCCAATGATGTTTTGAACAATTTAAATATGTAGAAAATGAAGTGTACAATCATGTTTCTAAAAATAGTAATGGGAAGATAAAAAGATATTCAGACTGCTTTACAAGAAACCAAACAAAAATTATTGCCGAAGGGAATGTTGTCCAATTCCTATATTTTCTTTATTCATACACTGGTCTGCCCTCCTGAACCTCTTCCTTTTCCACTTGAACCATTATGTTTTCTTGGCTTTGCTAGGACTTTTCTTTTCCTGGACATTTTAAATATTTTTAATACAAAGGGTGGATATAAAACGGAGGAAACATAAGTACTCAGCATCATTTGCAAAAATTACCCATTTTTGCATTTGTACATTTGTATTGACCCATCGTGTAAATATATAATCAGGATCTACAAAGATTATATGGATGTGAAATGTCACCTGACATGACTTTTTCTTTTGTGTTAACAATGATATAGTAATACCCAGTTTTGATTGTATAAAAACTATTGAGCTCACAGAAAATTCCCATAATGTCAAACATTTTCTTAAAAAGAAAATGAAGTCACTTATATTATCAGGGAATTCAGAAGGTAAATGGAAAAGTTTTCCCAGGAGATATAACTAAATGCAAAGTTTACATTTCATTATAAACCAGTAACAGATTTCATTTAGGAGCGTTTTTTCACAGATCAATTTTAAGTCCAAACATAGTTTATGGATATAAAGGATCCCATTATGATTTTCTTCTACCCTGCCTCTTTGGTGTATTCTCAAGTCTGACATCAACATAGAGCCCTATGACAGATTGTTTTTCCTGAAGAAGAAGGACAAACTTGAAGATGTCATTCTTGCTGATGTTTCAGCAGTATAAATAATGGCTTACAGTACTCTCAAATTAAAGGACTCATATGTATGTGTGAAATTGTATTTTGAGTCAATATATTGTGACAAAATGCAGCTTGTGCTTTGACTACATGAAAGTCAAGTTTCATACACAATTTGTTTGACTAAAATTGAAATTAGCAGCCAAAAATTGAATAAACACAATCTGTGGATAAAATCATACCTCAAAATTTTTGAAGTTCTATACCAGTGCCTATTTTGCACGTTTCTATCTGGAGAAAGATACCACATTTACATGATTTCTTAACATGGGTTTGGATGACACATAGAATGAAGAATTTAGCATTTGACCCACAAGAGATGTTTTAAAGTAATTACTGACAGACTAAGCTATTCTCTTTCCATTGTGAGATTTTTTGGGGGAGCTTGATAATGTTCTTTTATTAATATGAGACCAGGTGTTCTTGGCAAATTACTTTCCTATTGTCATCTTTTGTTTTAGTTTGATTTGATTGTTTTACCGCTATAGTCCACAGGAAAGTTCTGAGACCATTACCAAATCTTTATCAAAGACTTTCCAAATGGAGTTTCTAAAAATTAATGACCTCATTGGTCTAAAAAATTAAAGCCAGTTTTATCTTCTTTTGTTTGCACTTTGAAAGTAGAGTATCCAGATTCGAATAGTTATATGTATTTTTTTTCACATAATAAGTATCGTACTAAATGCAATTGGATGGTGCACTCTCAAGGAATATGAATATAACAATAGAGATAAAAGGGTTGACTTTACAATTCAAGTCCAGAGGATGACTTGGCAAGGTTTCATTAGAGGTCGGAGCTTAAGGATGCAATGCATTGAATCTGAGTGGAAAGATCAAAATTTCCAGGCAAACAAGAGGCCTGCATGAAAAAAATAAGTGTGGGTTCTGTTTCAAGTGGAGGTTAACATTCATATAGACTCAATAGGAGTTGAGCCTAAAAAGACAGTGGCAAAAATACCAATTTCAGCAGGCAGGCTGACATCACATACTTAAGAAGCGTTCATGGAGATTCCTGGGGTCAAAGGGACCATTATTGAAACTAAAAGTTTCCTCTCTCTTGCGTGTGATGCTTGGTCTAAGCAAAGCTAACCGGGAAGCTATTTTATATAGAAGGTGATTGTGACTGAGAATCTGATGTACACTGATGACCCAAGTCTGCAGTCAGGAAGCAGGAAGGCTAGACCTGAATAAGAAGGAAAACAACAAACATGGAAGTTGAATCCACAGGCAACAGGAACCCAGAGACTAGGCGTGACTGGTGTCAACCAGGGGAATGGCATTGTGTGTGAATAGATATTAAAACACTGCAAGGAAGTGTTTTAAGTGCAAACATTGTATAATTTTGTTTAATATTAAATTTAATCACATGTTTTTTTTCTTTGCTGATCTAAACCTTTGTTGTATTAAGGCTGAACAAAAAAATAACAGCCCCATTAAAAAAAAAAAAAGATTTTGCGTCAAATAGCCTCTGCTATCTTTTCAAAAGAGAAACAAACCTTCTGTAGTATTTCTTGAATGGGAGAAAGAGATTAGAATTTTGAAGAGGAATAGATGCTTTGTGAGCTAATAAATATTGGAAGCTAATATTTGATCTTAGACAATTTCTAAAATATCTGTCTTAAGATAAGGAAAAAAAGTAATTGTTGGTTGATAAAATGTGCTTGGACTTTGTGTCTGAATAGTGAAGGCCATGATATCTAGAACGCAATATAACATAAAATTAAAAGACATGGCTTAACTAAATGGAAACAATTTGGATCTTCATAAAGCACTATAGTGGCAATTATTTGCATCCATTAAGTGTATGTAGTCACATTTTTTTTTCTTTTATGGCTTGTAATTATAATGCCTTCTATTATATTTCTGATTAATTGTTTTGATGAATATTTACAAATGTTTGGCAAAATTATCTGAAGTTTCAAGCTATTCTGTACTACTATGATACTGAGTGCAAAATAAACCCAATAACTTGTTACAAAATAAGGATTACCATGTTTTTTGGTGGTTTTCCTAAAGATAACTCATTTTACTGATTCTCCATATGTCAACATGACTTTGGAACTGATGTTTCCAATCTATATTACTACAATG